TCAAACTCAGTAATCCACCTGCCTCTGCCTCCTAAGTGTTGATATTGAAGAAGGGTACCACCAAGCCCAGCTCCTTTTTGATTTTTAAAGCTTTTCCTGCTTTCTCTCATTTTTCTGTACATCTATTCTTCTGCCTTTGTATTATTTTAAGACACCACTATTCAGGCTTTATACAGTCAATACCTGGTCAATATTCACTTGTAACCTTTCCTGTTACTTTTTACTGCTTGACAAAAGTCTGCAATTATTTTGGGTTTGTTTTCCTTCTGCCTAATTAATTCACCAAAAGCATTTCTCTCAGCGCTTATGTGACTCAACCATTTCTCTCAGTCTTGGCCAAAAATTCCCAACTTTAAAGGCTATTTGTGCTGGATTTATAGTTGGGAATACCATTTTTCCACAGGAATTTAAAGATATTGTCTTTGGTTTTATGATTGATGCTTAAAAGTCATTTCTTAGCTTTACTGATACTACTTTAAAGGAAATACATCATTTTCATATGGCTGCTGTAATAATTTTCCTGTCCTGGACCTTGTGTTGAGCAGCTTTCCTGTGATATGCTCAAGTGGGCTTTGCTTCTTACAGACCCTGATGAGGTTTCTCTGGATACCCCGACTATTCAAAGACTCACCAGTGGTAGAAATTGTTCATTATTATCTCTTCAGACATTACTCCTACACCCCAAATCTCCTGTCTTACCCTCTCCTCCTGACAAAGCTTCTTTTCCCAACAGGTCTCTTCCTCACTTTCAGGTCTTCTGTGTGGGGCTCACTGAAGTTCATGGTTATTTATTTCTTTTTAAAAAAATTGAATCATAACTACAATCCACATTTTAAGAGAAAACACTGCTGTAATTTGCCTTTTCTATTGTTCTGTAGCTTTGGTGAGGAGACTAACGTGGGTAAAAATACAACTACTTCACTTCACATAGACTGATAGTTAAGACTTAGAAATAGACAGTGGGATATAAAGAATACCTTTCAATTGCTCATTTTCTGACAAAAGTTCAAGGAGTTTTGATACAGTCTTACTTATCTAAGTACGTGTAATGAGTTAGAAACCTAGCAATCAGTTCACCAGGCTTATCGAACACAACAGAATGCTGCAATTAAAAACCAGTAAGTATGCTACTGTTTCAATTTATTGACAAAGTGTATTCATTATTTCTAATCAGTTTCACTCAAAGTAACTATGCACAAAGTATGCTAAACAATTAAACAAAATGATTTAACACCAAAAATAACTTTTGCTGATTGATAAATTCTACCCAAGGTACCAAGTAGCACAAAGTAAAAATTTGAAATCTTCTAATAAACAGAATCAAAGAGAATATGCAAACTTCAAGAGAAATTTCCTCATTTGAAAGGTGGGAGAAACTTCCAGAAAAGACACACATTAATTCATGCTTGGGCTTCATTGTATAAGGAAGAAAAGTTAAAGGTGATGCCTTCAATAACTCTGCATTTTCCTTTTTTTTGAAAAATAAGACATAACTCTGATTCTGAGATTAATTATCAAAAGAAATTATTTCAAAGCAGTGATTTAACGGTTTTATTTTATAAGTGGGATGAGAAATTACACAATTTCTCTTTAATTTTCATCAAATAAGAGTTCAAAACTTTAGCAGTCGTATTTCCAGAATACTTGCAACCAAGTAAATAGGACCCCTAGCATGCATGATTGTCACAAACAAAAAGTGTCACAACCCTTTTGTACATTGATATACACTTTACATTTTATGAGCTGACTATTCAAAGCACTTAGCCTGAAAGTGAACACGATGTAATGTGGCTTTCCATTCGTGCAGAAAGACCCAGGCAACATAAGTAACTTTAAACAATCAACCTTTGAAAATATGAAATCACATGGAAAGTTCAGGAGTCACAAATTTGTACAAATTGTATGTTTTTTGAGAGCAGTCAAATGTCTCAGAAGATCATTAAGTGTATAATTCAAAGAAAATGTTATGCTATTTGAGTTATTTAGGGTTGTGGGAGTATCACCAAGTGATGCTCATATGTGGAGAAATATATGAAATATGCTTAGTACAACTAAAAGCCTAGTACTTTCATGCCAATAAAAAAGAAACTATCAGTGCAATTAAGGATGCAAGCAGGTTAGACCAGTGGAGACCTTCATTAAAAGATCATTTCTTAAAAGGTAAGAATTGCACAACACTTAGGAGTTCATATTACTTAGTTTGGTGGTTCTCAACCTCCCTAATGCTGTGACCCTTTAATACACTTCGTCATGTTGTGGTGACCTGATACCATAAAATTATTTTGTTGCTGCTTAATAACTGTAATTTTACTACTGTTAGGACTCATAATGTAAATATCTGATATGCAACCCCTGTGAAAGGGTCATTCATAACCAGAAGGGGTCCAGATCCATAGGTTGAGAACCTACGATTCAGCTGAACACAAAGCTATCCCTGCAGTGGAGATTTTCTTTAAGGTCTCTCCCAGGATCCTGAACCAACAGCTCTGGGATCATAGGTTTGAGGAACTTGAACTCCCCAGTCCCAGAGTCCCCAGTTAGACATACCTCATACTGGTAGCTCTGGGACAGGGTCCGAGTGCCGCTGACGTCCACTAGGTGACCAGGCAAGTGTCCCTCCGGCACAGAGCAGCCACCCAGAGAGGTCGCCCTGGCTCTCCTGCACAGCCTCACCCCCACGAATAGCAGCACAGACAAGAGGAAGAGGGAAGACACAGAAGCCAAGGCAATGACCAGGTACAGTGTGAGTAAGTCTTCATTGTCGTGCGCGGGGTCTCGCGCCACCTCTGGCAGAGGCAGGTAGGGCTGAGAGAAGCCATCCACCAGCAGCACATGCAGAGTGACACTGGCAGACCTTGGAGGATCTCCATTGTCCTTGACCAGCAGCAGCAGCCTGTGCTTGGGAGCATCGCGCTCACTCAGCAGCCTGGAGGTGTGCACCTCGCCATTGTGAGCCCACACGCTGAACAACCCAGGCTCTGTGGCCTTGAGCAGCTGAAACGACAGCCAGGCGTTCTGTCCAGAGTCGCGGTCCACTGCCACCACCTTGGTGACCAGGTAGCCTGGCTCTGCCGCCCTGGGCAGCAGCTCTGTGCAGGGTGCAGAGGCGTTCTGCAGCGGGTAGAGCACGAAGGGATCATTGTCATTGGCGTCCAGCACCAGCACTCGCACCAGCGCCTGGCTGCTGAGCGCAGGAGAGCCTTGGTCTGTGGCGCCCACGTGGAACTCGAAGGTTTGCAGGGCCTCATAGTCGAGCGCCCTGAGCGCGAACAGCTGCCCATTGTCGGCGTTGATGGAGATGAGCGAGGAGAGGGCCAGCTGAGGGTCGTGGGTGGGCAGCAGAGAGTAGGTGATGTGGGCATTGGAGCCTGAGTCTGAATCTGTGGAGCTGATGGTGCCTATGTGCAGGGCAGGGCTGTTGTTCTCCTGGACAAACAGGGTGTAGGAGGTTTGTGTGAAGGCGGGGGCGTTGTCGTTGACGTCAGACACCTGAACTGTTATGGTGTGCTGTGTTGTGAGCGTGGGTGTGCCCATGTCGGTGACTGTGATGGTGATGTTGTAATCAGCTCTGCTCTCTCTGTCCAGTGGACTCTCTGTCACCAGGGTGTAGAAATTCTTGAAAGTGGATTTTAGGATGAATGGCAGGTTTTCTGGAATAGAACAAACAACCTTTCCATTCTCTCCAGAATCCCTGTCTCCAACTCTGAAGATGCTGATTATGGTCTCAGGAGCATTTTCTGGGATTGAGTTGGTCAGTGAAGATATGGTCAGCTCTGGGGCATTGTCGTTCACATCCATCACCTCTATCACCACCGACCCCTTCCCAGAAAGACCTCCTCCATCTATGGCCTCGATTTTCACGTGGTAAGATTTAATCTTTTCAAAATCCAGTTTCTTTCTCAATCTTATTTCTCCTGTGACTTCATTTATTGAGAAGGTTTGTTGAATTTCATCTGATGCTTGGAACAAGCCATAGGAAACTCTCCCAAAGTTGCCAGCATCTGCATCCTTTGCTAGGACAGTCAGGACTGGGGATCCTGGGGGACTGCTCTCCAGGACCTGCACCTCATAGGGAGTGTTCACAAATTCAGGGGCATTGTCATTGATGTCCAGTATCAGGATTCGAACCATGGCTGTTCCAGACCTAGGTGGAGAGCCACCATCTAGAGCCGTGAGGGTCAAGCTCAACTCTGCCTGTTCCTCTCTGTCCAGGGCTCTGTCCTGCACCAGTTCTGGGTATTTCTTGCCTTCACTATTATTCCGAGTGAGGACATGAAAATGAGAGTTGGGGCTGACTGTGTATCGTTGTAGCCCATTGCTGCCCACATCCAAGTCCTGGGCTAAATTCAGTGGTAACAGAGTGCCTGGCTGGCTGTTTTCTGGTATTTTCAAAAGCATTTCCCTATCTGGGAATTCTGGTGAGTGATCATTTATGTCCTGGATCAGTAATTCTCCTTGAAAATACTGCATTGGCTTTTCAAGGGACACCTGGAAATGCAGCACACAGGGATCCACAGAGGCACACAACTCTTCCCGATCTAGTTTCTCCCTCAGAAGCAGATCCCCAGTCTCGGGATCCAGCAGCAAACGCTGCTTGTAATCATCAGACACCACCCGTGCAGACCGGGCAGTCAGGTCCCCAGAACTCAGGCCCAGATCCTTGGCCAGATGGGCTACAAAGGATCCACTTTCTGTTTCTTCCAGGATAGAATATCGAGCTGTTGGCTCACTGCAAACCTGAACCAAAACCAGCATAAAAAGGAAAGGAATCACTTGCCTGTTTGGGTGAATTCTCTCCAGCTTCTTCATGTTGGGAAAGTGAGTGCTTGCATCCAATCTTTAGCAATCTCCAAATGCGTTGAAACGCTGACTTCTGGTTCCTTCTGAGAGGAATCTTCACAACGTTGCTCTTAATCTTACATTCAACCAGTATATTCGTCCCCAAACCTCTTCACAGCTCCGGAGTGCTGTCTTTTGTTCTGTATTTGCAAGGAGCAATTCCTGGTATTTTAGAGCTTTATCACAATCTTAGCCTGCAGCGCCACCCTGTGTCTTCTTGGGGAAATTCTTATAATTCTGTTTTTAAGCCAAACACCTCTTTAAAGTTTCCAAATTAATGTCATTTTAACAGTGTATGCAGATGTTTTTCTTTACCAATGTTGTTACTGCTTGAAACAGCATAATTGGTACAACTATTCAATAATATTGTGCATCAGAGGGGTCATGAAAACAAAACTGGAAGAGAGCTAGTCTTCTCCCACATTGAGGATTTGAATAATCAGGTAAAGAAAACAAGAAAGCAGTTTTGTAATAGCATTTTCTCACAGTGATAAAATATCAAAGTGTTAAGGTTAATACCAAGAGTCCATGCAATTTGCTATAAATTATTAAAGAAGGAATTACCTTTTGGAATACTCCAATGCATAGATACAGTTGCATTGATCTAATTCATCAGCTGACCACCTGAGTGAAATAGCTACAAACCAGGTAGTGTATGTTGGTGAAAACAAACTAAAATTTGATATTAACTAACCTTCCTATCCTAAAATATTTTAAAGTACATTATAAAATTTTGATGCACTCTAAGACAATATCTAACAATTCACTCCTGTATGTCAATTTGAATACAACATATATTTATACATTTAGTTCATAAATCATTCAAATATTTTATTTCACACTTAGAGTATCACAATAAAATCAGGGAGTTTGATTTCTTCAAATTTCTTTTTTAAAATATTATTTTGGCCATTCAAGAGTTCTTGCATTTTCACATGAAAAATCTAGGGACATTTTGGTAACTTCTAGGAGAAAAGCAAACAGGCATCTTGGTAAGAATCCCATTAAGTCATAAACTAGTTTGAGGATAATCTTTACAATATGGAGTCTTCCCATCCAGGTACACTTCCTTCTTACATAGGTCTTCTAGAATGTTCTTCAATGTTTTCTAGGGTTCTGTATGACATTCATCTTCATGCCTGCCTGCTTCTTTTCTGAGCATCTTGCTCCTGTTGATTCCAAGGAGTTCTTCATTTTCGGTTTGTCCAGTGGTAGCATACAGAATAACTTCTTTTAGGGTAGTGATCTCTTCTTCTACACACTTGCTGAATTTGTCCACTAATGTTCTATGCTTTCAGGCCACTTAAGATTTTGTATATGAGAAGTCACACCAAAGGTAGTTCTGTGCTTCCTCTGTCTAATTATAAGGTTTTCTTAAAATGCTTTTCTGCATTTATTAAGATGGTTGTGTGGCTTCCCCAATCATTTGGTGCTTTAATGATATGTCAGTGTTGATTTTTGTATGTTTAACCAATTTTGTCCTGGATAAATCCTATATAGCCATGATATACAATCTCATCTGTTATTGGTGTCAGTTTGCTAGTATTTTCTTGAGAATTTTCACATTGACATTGGTAAAGTAAATGGATATATAATTTTCTTTCCTTTTATTGTATGTGCCCTGTTTTGTCACAGTTTCCTGTCACAGAATGAGTTGATACATAGTTGCTGCTCTGATATTTGTTATTAGAGCAGTAGTGTTAGACATGTGGCTTTATGAGGAGGGAGTTGTATTTGGGGCATCAAGTCAATTTTATTTTATCACTAGAGCCTAAATATAACAATCGCTCATTCGGAACAGGAATTTTGGATTGTGTCAATGTTGCTGACCATCATCAAATTTGTATATTTATTGCCAATATCAAGGCTGTAAGTTTTTCCACGTGTGTAGTTGTGTTGCAGTTTGGGAGAGGGGCTCTTCATGCATCCATGGCTGTTCTGGAACTCACTATGTAAATCAGACCGGCCTCAAACTCACAGAGGTCCACCTGCTTCTGGATACAAAGTGCTGGGGATTAAAGGCATCCACCACCATGGCAGGCTCTCCCCCATGGTTTTCACTCATCAATTGCTTTATGAAAAATATTTTCACAGGGTCTCAGGTCTGGCACCCCAACAGACACCATAACAGCAATGAAGAAGGAGATATTATCTAAGATGTTGGCTTCATAAAACAAATGCAGAATTGTAAGTCCCACACCTGTTTGGGCCTAGTTCAAACAAGTGGAATATAACCTCTACCCATGTGTGACAAAGTTCAGCAAGTCTTTTTAATTAAAGCTTAGATCTCCTGAAATCTGAGTGCAAACTACCATGAGATCTCCAGTCTCTCTTTTAAAGACCATTAAAGCCAGGATAGTATGAAGGAACTTCCAAAAGAAGGTTAGGAGCTGACAAAACATCATCACTAAAGATGACTAAGGCCATGAAAAAAGACTAGACAGGTTCAATGTTTGTTCTCTCCCCTAGGACAGAGAGATTCATGACCACACAGAGAGACTGTGGGTGAAAGAGATTTAATTTGGTCAAATCAAAAGCAGGAAATGACAATTGTGAGTTATGAACTAGTTGTTATGAAAATATGCCAAGTGGAATTTTTGAAAAAGGAAGATGAGAACTACTAAAAAAAATGTAGTGTATTATATGACTTTTGAGTTCTGGAATAACAAATGTCAGAACTGATGAATAAATGAAATAATCTAAAATAAAATGAGATCTATCACTTCTCTGCTTTTGGGAAAATCAACTGTGGAAGGAACAGGGATTTACATATAATGCTGGAGAAGCTGGCTGACACCGCACTTGTAATCAACAGTGTTGAATGACAGAAGAACAGTAGAAAACTATTTTCATTCTTAAGTGTATGATTAACCAAACTATTGTTATGCATTAAAATAGGACAGTGGGTTTTCAAGAAAGTAATTCAATTTCTGAATTGATGTCTTTATAGAAAAATAAGAGATAGTATATACTGTTTGAAATTATGTTTTGAAAATAAGTGACTGAACCTCTATCTTGAAATTTTCACTTAATTTTGATGCTGTAAAGAGTAATCAAAAGCCAATAGTAGCACCAATTAGACACCAAAGAATTTAAATAGAGATTTCTGAGAGTTAATTGGATGAACAAAAAAAAATCTTTTTTTTTTATCCCTAAAATCAAAGACACTGATGAGCTCAATTTGGAACCAAATTAGAGATTGATGTATTGTTTTGCTCTTCTCTGAGTTTCCAGAGATTGAAATTAAAAATTGGTTCCATTGAGATTGGTGTTATTCTGACAAAATTGAATTAGTTATCTGATGACTGCAAATTGAGCACCTGTTTTGAATGAGACATTGCATTATGCACTGCAAACTAAACTATAAAGAAAACCAAAAGAGCACTTTCAGTTTACTTAGTATCTACTGAACTTATTTAGCAGTAAGAAGACTCTGTTTTTGTTTAATTTTGTTTCCTCTTCAAACATTGAAAGAACAGTAATATCAACTTGTTCATAAATAGTAACAACCTTATTACTAGAGAATTGATAGACAAAGTCATCTCTTTCATGGATATCTGACTTGCAGTTTGTAAAATGCCCCAGAGTGCAACAATAGTTAGTTTGTTATCAATGAAAATATTTAATTGAGGTGGCAGCTTACAGTTTCAGAGGTTTAGTCCATTATCATGGCAGGGAGCATGGCAGTGTGCAGGCACACATGGTGTTGACTACATCTTGATCAGAAGGTAACAGGAAGTGGACTGAATGTTACATTGAGTGAAGCTTGAGCAAAAAGGACCTCAAAGCCCACCCCCACAGTGACACACTACCTTCAACAAGGTCACATCTCTCAATAGTGCCATTCCCTATGAGTTTATGGGGGCCAATTACATTCAAACTTCCACATCCCCTGAGTCCTGCACTTAGTGAAATATCCATATAAAGAGGCCTTGGGAACCAGGCATGGTGGTACAACAAATCCCAGATATCAGGAGCAAAGTTGTAGACCAGCCTAGGCTACAAAGAGAACTGAATAAGAACCTGTCCCAAAATATAATAGCAGTAGTTTTGTAAATCAATTTAAATAAATGGATAGAAGGTTTCTAACTGCCCAGAAATAAAAATAACTTTGAAACAACACTGATTTTTTTGTCTTCAAATTCAGTACAGGTTATTTTATTGGCTTACAAATTTTATGCCCACTTTGTCAACAATGTATAAATACAGGCCCTTCATAAGTTAAATTGCTAATAGGATCTGGGATTGAGGATGTAGCTTAGTGATTGAAGACATACCTTGTACACCGTGGGCCCCAGGTTTTGGTCACACACATACCCACAGACACACACATGCATGTACACCCCTACTGATACAGTATCTCCTTTATCTTCAAGTTGTAAATGGATCATCAGCATATAGTCCTTCCCACTTTAGTGTGATATCATACACTATAGTGCCTCTCAAAAATAGTTGTCTTATATGAATTACATAATTTCCAAGAAATTTCAGATACGTATGAAAAGATGAAAATTTTCATACAAATTATTTAGGCTGAAAAAGATTTTTTTTGATTATTAAGAATTCATGCTTACATTGCTCATTTACATGAAAGTTTTTTATGCTTGGGAGCTTCCTGCTTGGAAGGTGGCTCACCGGCTCTTGCAGGCACTTAAAAGTGGTTATAATCACACAGCTACAGGTACTGATGATTGAGATACAGGTACTGATGTTTGAGATACAGGTACTGATGTTTGAGATACAGGTACTGATGACTGAAATACAGGTACTGATGATTGAAATACAGGTACTGATGATTGAAATACAGGTACTGATGATTGAGATTATGCCAATATTACTTTCTATCTTTCCAGAATTTCCAAGTCATTTTCAATTTTTGATAAGTTCAACTATTTTTTTTTGTAGACAGTACCATTCAAATACTAGTTGGATACATCTGGACGATAAAATATGAAAAGTCGTTTAAAGTAAATTTAGTCAAGGAAATAATAGTTTGTTATGTGAAACTCTTAAAATTCACTCAAAATAGGCATATTCTGGGGTTTGGGTTGCTTACATGTATTATTTTTATTTGGAGAAAATCTAAACTTCCCCAATGATACTATTCTTGCCCATTATAAATTCCTATATTTGTACATTGTTCAATTACAATTTAGTAGGAAGAAGGCTGCTGTGGATTGACAGATTTCATTCCCAAACAATTGTACATCATTACAGATTGAAATAGGGAGGAAAGAACCCATTGTTAGGACCCAATGGAAATATTGTGCCTAAGCCACCCAATTTATGGCAAGTAAGTACTAATAATAAAAATACTAAAACACTTAAAAGCCATTCATCTGCATATATTGTTGCAAGTTTAATGGGTCCTCATTTATTTCCAGCATTTACACATCAGCTCATCACCCAAACACATGCCTCACTTAGTGTCTTCTCATACAAGGTGAAAGCACACTCCATCACTTGCAGTGGCTTAGGTAAAACAAGGTTATTTCTGGTACATTTAGAAGCAGTTTTGGCCTGTGCATAAGCAATAAAATGTTGAAATACTAATTGTGGTTGTCAGTAAAGATGATAAATTTAACAGCACACCACTTCCGTTTATATATGAAACACGTAAAACTATGACAGATGACTGAATCTGATAATCACACTTCATTAGCTGTACACAAAGGTGTGTTATCATGATAACAGAAGTGTGGTGAGGAAAACACATACATGCATGGTGGAATTACTTTATTCAGGCATCAAGAAGAATGAAATTGTCATTTTGAAGGAAATGGAACTGCAGATCATTTAAGCTAAATAGTCACCCTCTGAAAGACAAGAAGTACATGACAGCAAAATGGGGCATTGAAGAGTGTGGTGGGAAGGAAGACAACAGGACTAAAGAATGTGATAAGGAGGTGAGTGCTATCCAGGCATGGTATGTGCCATCTCTGAAATTGTCACATTGAACACTATACATTGTATAATTAACAAGCTGCAGTGAAAGTGAAAATCAAAGTGAATACGACAGAGCAAGTTATATGCATAGCCTCAAAAAGATACGATCTGAGGTGGGTGTTGAAGAAAGCCACCCTGGTTATAAAGAAGAGGAAGAAATGAGTTCCCAAGAACACTATTTGAAATGACCAGAGAAACACACCAATGTTACATATCCTCCAAATTAGTGAAAGAAAAAGATGCATCAAGATTGCATTAATAAAACAGAAAACACAGATCCAAAAGAAAAAAATACACCAATAAAAAACAGCGAATAAAATCTACATAGAAATATATTGTCCCATGGAAAGATTATTGAATGCAAAAGGAAAATATTAATAGCCAAGCAACTAATTCTGATTTGGTTATTGAAACCTTGGTCTCCGGACACTGAAATTTAGCTAGGGGTCTTGAAAGAGACTACTGGGAATAATGGGGTTAAAGAATTTGAAATCTGTGTTCCCAGAGTCTCCAGTCAGACACACCTCATACTGGTAGCTCTGGGACAGGGTCCC